CTGAGAAGCACCTCTCTTTGGGGTGGGGGTGGGCAGCTCAGATACCAGCAGCAGCTGCCCAGAGGACTCCCCAGGAGAAGGGAGAGGAGAGAGGAGGCTGAGGGAACACTCCACAAGGGAGTGTGTTTGAAAAATGGTGAGAGGCTGCCAGCTCTGCAGACAAGGGGTGACATAACTGGGCTCTTGAGCCACTGGGTTGCCGCAGAAAGAATGTAGCTGGTCAAGGGAGCTGTGGATTCAAAAAGGTTGAAAACCTCTAATTTACACCACTCTTGCCCATCAGTAGTACTACCCCACTGCAGCAAACCTGCCTGCTCTAAGTATTCCTCATTCCATCTGTTCTTTACCCTATTGACATTGAAAAGGCAATTATGCAAGAGCAGTGAATGTATAGAGGTGGCTTCTTTAATCATCTTGAAGGATCCTAAGTGGGAAGAAAAACAATTGCTGTCCTTATGCAGTGCTGGATGGGCATTGAAAGTATTTGGTGTTGACGCCTTGAACACATTCAGAGATATTTTAAGGTGTGGTATAGATTTCTGTTGTTGTTTTTATAAAAAAATGGACATTTTAAAATTATGTTGCTCAAAGTTAGTTTTGTCTCAATTTAAGCAGCTCCGCATAATCATAACAAATCTTATTGGAAGGCCTATATGTAGAAACACAAAAGGGACTGCGTTTAAGTCATCTTTATAAATGTCTTGCCTAAGCAGTGTTTATCATGCACTCCAACTTTATACAATGCTGATAAAATGACTTATGGCAGCTTTAAATCTGGTCAGGTTGGGCTGCACTTTGCAAGCTGCAGGTACTGCAGAACACACGCTTGAAATTGTCTGGAACAGAGATATAAGTGGCAGTTTTATGTACCATTGGCACAAGAAGGTGAAATATTTTTGCCTTACTAACCACAACAGGGAATGTTTATCTGAGGGCCAAATTAAAATAAACACTGAGCTAGATATAACTCTGGTTTCCTCAGGTCACTAACACCCCTTTACAAGAGGCAGTTGCAATCTGCCTCAGAAGACTTGGTGGGGGGGGGAAGGAGCGGGGTTTCAAACCTTTCCCCCTTTACTGGTTTTCTGCATAAAATTGCCCTCAGCTGTTTTTCCTCCATGGGGAAAAAAGATACAAATACCTAGTTTTGTGTTCTTTAAAAAATGAGGGGGTGTGTGTGTGCACAGCTTTGACTGCATTTCAATATATATTCACAGGTAAGTCCCACTGAATTCCCTGTGGAACACCCTCCCATCAGATGTCAATGAGATAAAGAACTACGCAACTTTTAGAAGACATCTGAGGGCTGCCTTGTATTGGGAAGTTTTTAATGTGTGATGTTTTATTATGCTCTTATGTGTTGGACGCTGCCGAGAGTGGCTAGGGCAACCCAGCTAGTTGGGCAGGGTATAAATAATAAAATTATTATTATTATCATCATCATTAGGGGTTACTGCTGCATAGATAGGCAGCAAATATATTCATAAGAAACCACACATTGACCATTGTACAAACCACCGGCAGAAAAAAGAGGCAATGAAGATGTTGCTAATTCCAGTTGGATTTGGTTTTGTAAGGGCTGCTTTGCTGTTGTTCCCAGTAGATCTAAGCAAATTTGTTGAATTTATTAAGCAGGGATGGACAGACCAGTCTATTTTTGCTCCATGTCAGTTTCACAAACTATTCACTCAGATGTCCATTCTGTTTTGTCTTCCCATTAACTGAGGGGTTTTTTCCTTAAAAAATGCTGCCAATGTATGCATTTCTAAACATATTTTCCCCTAAAATGCATTTTTTCTCTCCACATGCATGTTTGTGTTTGTTTTTGTTTGTGTTGTTTGTGTGTGTTTTTCTCCACATGCATGTTTGTGTTTGTCTTACAAAATTTGGGGAAATGCTAAATCTAAAGAGATAATTCAGTTCTGATCCATGTATTAGTCCTGGAGGTGCAGATTAAGTCAGTTCACGTAACACAACAACCAAGTGAAACTCTCCTCCATCCCTAATAAAAAGGAGCAACACTTGATAGGCATCACATCAATTTAATCTCACGTAAAACACTGGATAGTCACTGAATATGTCTATTCCATAAGAAACATACAGCTTCCACACTAATTTATTCAGCCCATTTATAGACCGCTTAGAACTCACAGATCTCATAGCAGTTTACAATAAGGAAAATTCAGTCGCATAATCAAAATACAGTTATGCGCAATTTCAAATGAATGACATTTTAAAAAATCCAAACACATAAGGGATTTTCAAAGGTAACCATCAAAATGTTATCTATTCCTAGAGTTAAAAAAGAAGTACCGTAATTTTTTACCCTTTCCTCATGTGAAAGGCTGTGGACTCTTCCTGATGAGCTGTGCCTCATTCATTCACGATTTATGTGGGTCCAGACAGTTTTGCCACTACCCTTGTGTAATCAGCCTGTGTTTTGCCATTCCTAGTGATTATCCCACATTCTCCACTACTGTAGAAAATTCTAGTTTTAACAAAATGATTTAACAGTGCCAGAAAGTCCACAGATGTGGAATTTCTCATCACTATTCCCTTTTTAAAAAAGTTCCTTCTGCCTGATTCTTTCTACCTGATTAATTACTTCCTCATTCCACCAATGCTAATATGATTGGTCCAAAATTACAGCTGTGTGTGTGTGTGTGTGTGTGTGTGTGTGTGTGTGTTCAAGTACTCTGGTTGCAAACACAGGAGGAATTTCCATTTCAGATCAGGAAAACAATCAATTTATTTGTTTTAGCACAGAGAATGCACACCCAAAGGGAAAGTCACTCTGCATAAGCTCCTTTACTATCTCATGTTGGGATGTGAGCACAACTTCTGGAAATGATTTAATAAAGAATTGCACTAGTGCGGTAACTTTGTTGCAATTCCAGGTGCACCAAAAATGGAAAAGTAAAAATGAGACAGCATGAAGAGCCCTCTGCCTGAAAGGGTGCCATATATTACTTGGTGATGGTACCCCTGGCTTTACTCCTAAAGACAGAAAATGCCACTAATGTTATTTCTGACCCCTTTGCCCTCAGATCCAACTGAAGTACATGAAAACTGCTCACACTTCCTCTATTTTGAGTAGCATTTAAATACAATTTGCTATAAAAGTGTGATTCACGATTAGGAAGCTACTTGATGTCAAGTCAAACCAATGATACATCTAGCTCTGTGTTGTTTACATAGACAGGAAAGCACTGCTGAGATAGAAGCCTCTTCCAACCCTGTCAAGGGATACCAGGTATTAACATGAGGGCCTCTAGTATGCAAAGTGTGTGCTAGAGCACTAAACTACAACTCCTTCAGCCAGTTAAGCACATTCAGGACACATCTATTTTAATAGGAGAGATTTAGATAGGTGCTTTGCTGCCTATTCCTAATGCAGTGCTAGGCATGCCTCATTGATTTCAATGGCCTAAAACATGCTTAGCTCGGCAATGTGTTGGGTTGTAACTCTCCCACTGAAAGCATATTAATGGAATTTCAAAACAGCAATACATTTCTTAAAAGTGGCAATAATCTAAAACTACATGAGATGAGGCATTAGATGTACCAGTACTTTCAGAGAATCAATCTCTGGAGAACATGGGCTTTAATTGCTTAACTTGAGCTTTAATTTCTTTGCAAACCAGCAAATTTTTACAAAATGAGAATATTAAATCCTAATGGTGATCATTTTAATTGACCTGATAATTATAATTTCCTCCCCTTTGTAATCTGCTTAATTGGATTCCTAGTTAAGGAGCTGGGATATTGTGCGACTGTTATTGTAGAATAGGGTTTTCTTACCCCTGTATTTGCCATTGGTCATGCTGAACTGGCACGAACCCCATTATCTTTTCCATCTTGTGTAGTTTTTAAGCAATGATTGGAAGAAGGGTGTTTTTTTCGTTAAATGGGCCATAATGATCCATAGCTCTGGGTCCATGTAACTTGGCTAATTGTAAAGGCTAATTGCCCATTAACCTTTACAATATAGCACTGGCATTCTGCCATATATTTTTTTTAGTAACTGGTCTGTCATAGTATACTAAAATGGAACTATACAGGAAAGGAGTCATCTACAAAGGCTTATTGTGGTGATTAGCATGTCAGAGTAACGCTGAATGGATCCAGATTCAAATCCCCCGCTCAGCCCAAAATGTATTCAAAATGACCCTGAAGCCTCTCTCTTGACTTCCAGGGTCATGCTGAAGCTGTTTCTGAGGCCATAGTTAATGCTTGTGTCACTCTACATTTTCCCCCTGGTTTCTTATCCACACAAAGGGTGGGGATAATTCTTGGGCAGCTGAAGAAATGGATCCTGCTTCAGAAATCATGATGGGTCTTTGATCTCCCTGGAAGCCTCCACCTCTGCCTGGCAGTAGCTTCACTGCTGTGCTTTCTTTAGTATAGTAAATACCTCTTTAGTTTGTTCCTGATGCTGCTAGTATTTTCGTTTTTGCAATAGATTTCATTCCTCCCGCTCAGGTACCCATAAAAATGTCATAACCTGCAAGAGCTGACATCAGTTGGCACTAACACATTCTTTTAAACACTGCACTGATGACACTACAGTGTTTTTCATGACAGCTTAGGCAATGAACATTTTTCAGCAGCTGTACACTGCCATGATTCAAATGTGAAATGAAAGTTGCACAGAAAGTAAAGTAACTCTTATCCAGTGTATGGTGTGTACTCCACATTGCCCTCCACTTAACTGATAGTCCTGTTTGGGAAATCTTTTTACACAAAATCCTTGTAGTGCTGCTACAAGCTGGACCACAATGACTTCACTAATCATTGTTACATTGCGACCCTTTTGCCCATTTCTGTAAGTCATTGCCTTTATTATTAATTCATTCATTTCTGAAGCACTCTTTAACCCAAGGGTTCCTAGGGAGGTATGCAATATTCAAGATAAAATACAACATATGAGCAAAAAGCATGAAATATCATAAAAACATTACCAATGACCACGTTTAAAAAAAGAAACCAATAGAACTCACCAGCAACAGACCCACAGCTCTCAGCTTATTAGTCTCCAAAACCTGAAGAAAAAGGGACATCTTCAGTTTGTTTATTTTTATTCATTTGCAAAAATTCGTGCTGGTTGTTGACCTGGTCATAGCCTTTCAAATTTTCCCCAATTCAGGAAAAATTCAGGAGTAATCAATATCAGGAGAAAAAAATTCTCATAAGACCCAAAAACTCATAACACTGTTGAATGACTAATCAGTTTAATCAAACGATCTGCTCGAATATTCTGTGCGGCATGTTTTGCTGGACAAATGGCAAATATCTCCATCACTCTCTTTGACATACTATAAACAAAACATTTAAGAGATTTGCTTACAGGAAAAAACTCATAAAAGAACACATGCTTGTGTGTGAATATCAAAATAAACAAGGACCTTTTCTGGATTCAAGCTATTCATATGAATCATTTTTGATGGATAACAACTCTTGGTTATAAATTCAATTCGGCTCTGTACTGAAGAAATATCAACTCTGCTTGATTATAGCGGCATGCACTTGTCCCCTTGCAACTACAATAACTAGTGGAAAGGGTGACATAGAATCCAAGAATTTATTACCAGCTTTGTATCCTAAATGGCTCTGTGGGCCAACTAAGAGCAGGGAGCTTACTGCTGATCTGAAATATAGATAACTGAAAAGTGTTTAGACTTGGTACACTTGCTCATGGATGAACCATAAAATGGATGGTGATAGGGGGGTAGGGGTATTAAATCACTATGGATAAGACTCCCTAAAGTAGTAGATATCCCAGATTTATTTTTACAGTGGAAATTGAAGGATACCACGCCTGATCCCTTTTCACCCCAATCAGCAGTATCTTTTGGGATCTTCTCACTGCAATAACCTTTGGAACGTTAAAAATATTCATGTCCAATGAATTTGCATAGGTAGATGAAAGGTTGCTGGTGCTGCAACATTTGTGATCATATGCTCTAAACTAAGATGCAGTAACTATGAGTTTCTCATGAAAAAACGACTGGATTCTGAACAGCTTTTTTCAAGAACAGGCATCACCATTTGAAAACAGAAGTAGATAACATGCACTGGTTGCATAATTTGCTTTTTAAAATGAAACATCTTTGGACCAGTTCTCACAGTGACATTTTGCTCTCTGAATGGACAATCCCAAAGATCCTGAGCAGAAGCACCATTTTCTCAAACTGAAGGGGCTAACATGACGTCCTGAAATCACACGTGTGATGTTACGAGTAGCCAGGCGCAGAGCAGAATGCCCTCTTAACGTTGAGGGGGCCAGCCACCTCAAAAAATACATTGGGTGGTGGGGGGGGTTGAAACTGCCTCATCCTGCTTTAAAATTAGTACCAGCGTAGAACTACTATCTTCCCAGCCCTCATTTCATGATCACACCTTAGCCCGTTCCCCACACCCAATTCTGCTGATGGCCCAAAACTAGCCAACTTCTCCTTTTTCATGTCTTAATATGACAGACCCACATCCTGTCTCCATGTCAGATCTAAAGCTGCAACCTTGAGTCATGTCCTGTCAGGTACCCAATTTCCCACTTGCCTTTACCTTTTTACCTGAGCATTGGTGATGCTATAGATATCAGCTCTGTGATGCTGGTAAGATATTAGTAATTTTGCTTATGCCCTCATCCCAGCAACTGATCCACAGTGTCTGCCTTTCAGAAAACTTTTCTATTTCTTCTCCTTCCCGTTCAGTTCCGTTAAATCCATCAGCAATTCTATTTAAATGTAAAACATTTCAAGCAGCCTTATAATAGTAAGAAAACCTGAACCTTTCAGCTCATAATACTATTCAGAAGTAGTAAGTTTAAAAGCCTTACATTCTCCCTCGGTAACTGGCAGTGACTAACAGCTTGGGCAAAACACATCAGCTGAGCAGCTCCACCCTCGCCACTCTGCCGGCTGCTACCGGCAACAGGTCCCTTATGTCTGCAGTAGATTTGTATATAACTCCTCTGGGCTCAGTTGTGGACATTGTTAATATTGGATCAAAACCGAGATAGCATTTGTCTCATTCATGTATGATAACAGTCATTTTCTTACTTTTTGCATAATGCATTTTGCTGATGCATTATGTAAAAGGAAACCTCCTGGGTGCCTCTTCGCCTTTACCACTTAAAGCCTTGAGTCTGAGAAATTTCTGACCAAAAACAATTGGATAGTAAAACTGAGAATTGAAAAGGAGCTTCCAGATCTGATTATATTGGAGCTTAAATCCCTGGCAGAATCTTATCAGCATCCAGGTCTGTCTCAGGGCTAATCCCGTACAATTAATACTTTCACTGTATATTTTTGGACACCAGGATAATTTGTGGAAATAGTCCCATGCTGAGAATTCATAACACGGAGTGCAGTCCTTAGCTATAATTTTTGAGTGTCTCTCTTACTTCATGCTTTGACATACCACAACAGATATCCTGTTTTGTCTTTGAAGGTGGCTTAAAATGTGTTGCATGGATTCCATTTCAAATCTGAGAGTACTATTGGAAAGATAGAGGAGAAGGGTAAATGTTATTAGGGACATATTAATGCATTGGTAACAGAGGCCTGGGCTTTGTGTTACAAGAGAAGCTTTGTTGCGGTTATGAGTGAGAAGATGCTCTCGAAAGACATTACAAACCGGCTCCTGAAAGGCTTGTGAAACAATACATAAAGCTGGCTTTAACTCACCTCTAGCCGCTACCCTAAAGATAGAAAGCTATCAAAATTTAAGTGGATGATATAATTCCACTTTCCACCCTGCCTTGATTTAATTCCCCCTGCTTAGCCTGGGATGCTGGCTGCAAACTTAACTTTTGCAAAAATCACAATAAAAGATGGGCGAGCTCCTCCTTATTCCCTGTGGAGAGGTAAGCCTGCCTGTCAGTCATTGTGACATCTGCTGTGCTAATAGCAAGTACCTTCTCAGTTGATGCACTTGATAGTGAGCAGCCCGGGAAGAAGACAGCTACAGCAGGATGCTTGAAAAAGTGCAAGACACAAAATCCCTCAAGCTGGCAGCACTGTTGATATTCTGTGCTGGCAGACGCAGAGGTTGCGGTGAGATAACCTTCTGTCATCTCTGTGGTTCTCAGCAATGATTTTAACTCTCACAGTGAATAAAGAACACTGAGAACTCAATGTATTCTAGAAAGAGGGTACACAATATTTAGGGATGAAACAAATGCTGGTGTACATTTTGCAAATCTAAATGAGCCAATAGTCAAATTCAGCTTCCTGAACTTATTTTATCCCAGAATGCATAACTTGATGCTCCACTTCAATATTATCTACATCTGTTAGATGTAGACCTCCAGAGGTCACACATTTTTTGCTGCATAAATTTCTGATATATTAGTAACACCTATTAGGTCTGTTTCATTTGCACAATTTATCAACACACTCCCAACACCCTTATCTCTTGGTCACTAGGGAAAATATTGAATGAACTGGACCATGAAGGACTCTTCTGGTTACTTCTTTCCAAAATAGCCATAAGAATTTATCTACAGATTTAAAAATTCCTAATTATCTAGTTTGTGTCTAAAGTCAATCTCAAGCATTAGTAAGTTTCCACTGTTCCATTTTTATTTCTGAACTTTGTTAAATATTTGGTGCATTAACCATGTTCAGTTCCTGTGTGTCAACCATGTTCGGTTCCATTGCTTCCTTTACACCTTTCCCCCGCTCTGCATTTATGATCTGTAGGTGCTAGGAGTGGGGGAAATATGACTCAGATTGCATTTAAAGGTGCATGTATTCAATTCTCGCTTTTGGAACCATCCTTCAAAGCCATCCTTCAAAATTTGCACATTTCTGAATTTTGCAATGCAGCTCTCCAGCCAACTAATGTAAAGTGCATATAAACGCACATATTACTGAAAATAGCAGGCTAAACTGTACTATATTAGGGGAAATGCCAGTATTTCCTTTACAACTTTGGCAAAGGCTGAATTAGACTTGCCTTTTAGCAAAATGTCTTCCATCTAGCCAGTCTTGAACATCTTATAAAATACAATTTTCCAATCTGCATATTATTTTAAGAAGTACTGTATCAAATGTCATAGTATATATACTTTGTGTATCAAAGTACCATAGATCTACACATTTTCCTTGCCCAGAAATCCAATTATCTAATATTTATAGGGGAGCTGAATTTTGCAGTGTCAACCAAACCTAAACATTTCTCTCTCCATCTATCACCTACCGTTTTCAATATCTTTCCCATCTTTAGCAGGCTGCAATGGGATTGTAAACTTTCCCTACTGAGATCCATAGGCCCTCTGAACTTCTGTGAATTATATGCCATGATGTATAGCAGCCGATTGTGTTAGGCAAAGTGTGGAATACACTTTTGATGGGTAATTTTGACTATTAGCACTCTTGCCCCATGCACAAGATAAAGCGATTCTCTACATGCAGGAGGTCCCAGGTGCAGTCTGTACCATTCACCAGGTAGGGGTGGGAAGGACTCCTCTCTGAAACCCTCAAAAGCCACTTCCAGACAGTGCTGACACAAGCCTGTGGCCTCCATATGATTCCGGATTGTTACGTCCACCAGCCACAGCCAGTATAGCAAATGGTCAAGAATGATCAATAGCATCTAGAAAGCACCAGGTTGGGAATATTCTGAGATTAAAGATGGGCCAGTGATCTGACCTGATATAAAGCAGCTTCCCATGTTCCATACATTCAAGTCTATATAAATTCAGCAACATGGATCCCATGCAAAGACCTTTCATTCCCAGCTTTAATTCCACTTTCGAGTTTTGTGATCCAACTTTTGGTAGTCAACTGCAGGAATTTATTATCTCTCTGCATTATTCCAAATTCTCTTTCTCCGTGTGTGTGTGTGTGTGTGTGTGTGTGAGAGAGAGAGAGAGAGAGAGAGAGAGAGAGAGAGAATGAACATTACATTTTCTTCCTTTTTCTCCAGCCGTCCACAGCATGGCTGCCATCATATCACTCTGTCATCCCACCATCTAGCTATGTTTCTGTGTCTGGATTTCACCCATAGCATAACTAAAATGACATTTACTTGCCCG